GAAGGAGAAGGAGGAGGAGGAGGAGGAGGAGGAGGAGGAGGAGAAGGAGAAGGAGAAGGAGAAGGAGGAGGAGGAGGAGGAGGAGGAGGAGGAAGAAGAAGAAGAAGAAGAAGAAGAAGAAGAAAAAGAAAAAGGAGGAGGAGGAGGATGAGGAGGAGGAGGAGAAGAAGAAGAACAACAACAAAACAAAACAAAAACTGAAAGAAAGAAAAAACAAGAGAGAAGAAAAATGTCATAGGACTGTCCTGCTACAATATTGTATATGGTTTGATTTCTAAAATTCTGTGTAAAAATGTGTATTTCTTCACATTCTGTAGGGATTTAAAGTTTAGAATATCAATGATTGTTAAAAAATACCAGTCCCATGTTATGTCTAAGGTGTTTGATATTCAGACAGACAGTGATGTTAAGCTCTACTGCTTCTGTTAGATGGTAATAATATTATTAAGCTTCTTTTCTGGAGGATTAACAACTAAAGTTTGCAGACCAAACATTAGAGAAAAAGAAGGGCTGCCAGGATAGCCAATATTTTTGCTCTAGCCCTTCGTGGTCAGCAGGGACTCAGGACATAAGTGAATCTGTTCTGTGACATCCTATAAGTTAATGGTGTCCTTAATTTTATGTTCAATATTATGAGGCCACAGGGGAAAGTGAATGATGATGTATAGTGTGCCTACGGAGAATCTCCTAGAGAGAAAACATTCTCTCAGGGTTTCATAGAGAGGAAATTGGTCAAGCAATGGCCATGACATGTCTGACAATGACAAAATATCTACAAGCTGCTGCACATGGTATCAGGAAAAATCCTGAGGGGATTTGACTGACCTTTTGAGATACAAAAGTTACATTTTAGTTATATAGATCTTGCTTTACCTTGCTCTTAACCATCCAGCTGAAAAGTATTACCACGAGTTATGAAAAGTAATGCCATATTAATATGCTGAGCTCTAAAAGGCTCAGGTCAACAACTTCGGACATTGCCTGTTCTGCTGATACCCCACTATTATTATGGACTATTGGAGTATATGGACTTATTTTGCTGAATTTATGTACCTACAATATTTGAATAGGCATCAAGTATGAAAACATCTTTTAAAGACTTCTCCAAGGACACCGTCTCCAATGGCATTGCAACACCCATCTGACAAAACAAAGCAAAAGCGGGGATATAAATGAAGGACCATTTAATAGTGAAAAAATATGTATATACAAAATAGTGAGGACAGATACACAGCTATTTTGTTTTAGTTCCATGTGAAGAAAAATTTGTATTCATATTTTTTATACAAGATATCATGTCTTCATCTTGTACTCTGAATAACTATTATGAGGACAACAATATGCAATGTATCAATTATTGTATCTCTCTTACTAACGTGTTTTGAAACTTTCTTGTTGCTATTTCTTTCTTATTAAAATTAATAAAAAATAAAAGCATAAAAAATAAGAAAATTAGAAAAAATGTAGTTAGGCACATGTTTTGCCATTAAGGAGAAAGTGAGTAAATAAGAAAGTTCCTTACATTGGAAACTGAACTGTTAAATTTCCTAGTGTAGCTTTTTTCAACCAAAGGTGGGGAACAAAATAGAAAAGAAAATTTTAATTATTGAGGCTTTATACAAGACATTCTTTAGAATTAATGTACCTCTGTAATTCCTGTGGCCCACTCTATCATGTCCTCAGATAAAAATAATTGTTGCCCATGTGGAACAAGAGTGGAAAACTCTCCAACTTTCACTTTATGTCTAAGACCTTCAGGAAAATTCCAAACGTTGAGAATGTCATACTTTGTCTCATTACTTTTCTTGTCTAAATTCACTAGGTCTCCAGTAGGATTATTAAACTTCATTTTTTTCAGAAAGGGGTGCAGCTGAAAGAGAAACCACATCCTCTGATGAAGTGAGTACTCATACAAAGACAGAAGACATGAATGTGGGAAGTCTTCATCCACTTTAATCCACTTTATAATGGAACTTTCATAGAAGTGTCAAATGAATCAGAAGTAATGAAATCAACTGGAAGATTAAAATATCAAAATGTTCCTAAAATGTCAGTTTGAAGACAAAAGATTTGGGGGCCCTCGGTGTGAGAGTGCAGTAACCTGGAGTTCTCTGCATCCTCATTGCAGCCAGCACCCAGGCCAGGCATATGTGGAACTTCCCCCATCAGACAGGCTCGGTGTGGAACCCTACAACAGAGCTCCCTGCAGAGAGGCTAGAAGGAAGACCCACTCAGTTGACCCAGGAGCAGAACATTTTGCCAGGGTGGCACAGTGCATTCACTTCCAAAGGCTGCAACAGGAAGAAGTGGTGCACAGGAGCCAGATCCAAGCCACAGTCACCTGAACAAATTTGAACTTGGTAGATTCAGGCCTGTGCTAAGGTAATAAATCTACTGAAGCTCTACACCAAAGGTCAGAAGTCACTGCTATACAAAATGAGAAAACGAAGGAGCAAAATGCATTCTCGGTTCCTGATCCCACCCAGATCAAATGCAGGAGACAATAGCATAAAAGAAATCGGAAATCACACGCATGAAATCTCTGAAATAATAGAGTCTTTAGTAAAGATACAATGCAGAACAGTGTAATCAGATCAGAAATAATTTCTGAAGTAAAAAAAGAAATGATGAGTATAGTGAAAGAATTACTATGTCCTTCTAAAGAAGACAATGATAAAAAAGAGAAGAATAGAAAAATGATGGAATCCTTGAGTGAGCAATATTGAAAAGAAATAGAAAGCATGAAGCAGATTCAAAGAGATATGCAGGAAACTAAAACCTCAATCACAACCTGGACAAGCAGTTGAATGAAAGTGAAAAGAGACTTTCAGACCTTGAAGACACTGTTACAACTAGTGAAAAGGTAAGAAAAGCTCTCTTAAAAATAACTAGGACCTTGTCAGATACAATGGGTACCCTTTTATTTATATAGGTCTTGCTTTAACTTGGTCTTAATCATCCAGCAGAAAAGTATAATGATGAGGTATAAAAAGTAATGCCATAATAATAGGCTGGTGTGAAGGGCTCAAGTGAACAACAGCGGACATTGCCAGTTTTGCTGAAAACCCACTACTGCTATGCACCATTGAACTACATTGTGTTATTTTGCTGAATTCAAGTACCTACAATCTTTAGACTGGCTTCCACTGTGAAAAGGTCCTTTAACGTCTTCTCCAAATAGTGATTCTCTAACTGCAGTGGAACAACCATATCTGAAGAAACAAAATGAAAAAGGGTGATATGTGGGGAGCCATGAAGCTAGGAAATCGACACAATATGTGTAGGTGGAACTTGGCCCAGTGCCTAAAGCAAACAAGCTACCTTACTCCTGAGATGAATGTCCTGTCTGACTAAATTTAGTATCAGCTTTAGGCAACCTAGTGTGATGCATCACTAACCTCCAAAAGTGTAAATAAAAGACTTTTCTGTTGTTGAAAAACATATGTATGCATAAGAGAGTTGGGATAGATATGAAGCTACTTTCTCTTAGTTTTTTGAGAACAAAAGTTTGTGCTAACATTGTTTAAACAAGCTATTATGTTTGCATCTTGTCCTCTCAATAACTACTACAAAGATAACAATATGCAATGTGTTAGTGATTGTAACATTCCTCTTAACCTGATTTGAAACTGTTTTATTGCTACTTTGTCTTTCTTTTCTCATTCAAATGAATAAAAACACAAAAATAAGTAGGGTGCACAAAAAATAATTCAACATCTTCAAGATGATGAATAGATGAACACTATAAGACTAAAAGGCATCTGTGAGAAAGAATGAGTCTACACAAATGATATAAAAAGAAAATGGGCAGACGTAATCGCAGGAAACTTCCCAAATATGGGGAAACAATCTGACATTCAAGTAACTGAGGCATATAGAACTCTAAATAACATCAACCCAATTAAAACCACACCCAGACATATAATAATCAAGATCCCAGAAATTCAGCAAAGAACAGTATACTAAAAGTTGCCAGAGAAAAGAAACAGGTCATATTTAAAGGAAAACCTTTCAGATTAATGGCAGACTTCTCTTCAGAACCCATGAAGTCAAGAATAGCATGGAGGAAAGTACTTCAAATCTTGCAAGAAAATGAATTTCAACCCAGACTGATATACCCTACAAAACTCTCTTTTAAGTATAATGGAGAAGTGAAATACTTCCATGACAAAGAACATAAAGAATTTCATGACAACAAAGCCAATCCTTCTCAGACAACTAAAATATATTCTAGAGAGGGATCACAACTCCATGAATGAGAATGGAAAGAACCCACCAAAAAGGGCAAAGAATTAAACACAGGAGAAAAATTGGTATATACAGCAGTCTTTCAATTATTCTTTTGTATACAGCAGCAAAATATTTCTTTTCGTTTTTTTTTCTTTTCTTTCTTTCTTTTTTTTTTTTTTTTTTGGGGAACCGGGGATTGAACTCAGACCCTTGTGCTTGCTAGGGAAGCACGTATTCCACTGAGCCATCTCCCCGGCCCCACAGCAAAATATTTCTGTCAGCTAACTCTACAAATGGATTTCTCCTGCACTCAATGGCATTGATTGTCTCTTGGTCTACAGGGTGGACAACAAGGAAATAGCAGTAGCTTAGTTCCACAAGTGACACCTGTCCACCAGTAAGTGTCATGGACACTGTCCATGTCCACCACATACTAAAATTTTGTATGATATCCTATCATGAAAGTGTTAGAAGTGATTGTCATATATTTTCCACTCCAGTATTTTTGTTATGTTTTATTCTTAGTAATTCTTTACTATCATGAAAACCTTTACTTAGTTGATATTTTGCATATATTAACTTGATCAAATACTATGTGAGTACTCTGAATTGATCACGGATTCATACATATGATACACTACATTCTG